CACTTGGCATCTTGACACATGGGCATCCATCCTGGTTTCCCCTCTCCCACCCATCTGTTCCTTCTTTTCTCTTCATTCATTCGTTCGTTCAGTTGCTTTTCAACCAGCAAGCGTTTGCTGAGTATCGACGAGGCAGAAATAAACCTAGAGTCTACAAACTGGTGGCACTTGAGCCAGTCTGGCCTGCAGATGCATTTTATTTGGCTCACGGCATGGTGTCTTAAATTTGAATTTGCTGCTGACACATAAAGATGGGGTGATTTCACATGAGAATGCTGATACCAGGCTTCTCCCTCTAGAATCTGAAGTCCTGGCAATGTCGGCTCTCATTTCCATGTGGTAGTATTTTCCATAAGGGCAGCTGCCTCCTTTAGGTAAGGCCGGCCCCTCTGATTCAGATCCCGAGACTCTCAAGTGTCTGGTCGCCACCAAGACAACCACCTTCGAGGTCCCATACACAAGCTGTTTCACCTGCTACGTGACCTGCGTGGCCCCATGTGCATTTGAATCTGTGACCCCTGGTGCAGACCCTAATGTGAGGGATGTCATGGTCCAGTGGAAGAGACGGACAGGTGATGTTAGTTCCTGAAGAGTGCCATGAGAGCAGTGTACTTCGGGAGCATGGGGAGGAAGAGATGGATATTGATGAAAAGAGTCAGGTCTTCATGGAGAAGGTGACTTTGGAACCAGGTGTTGAAAAGGCAGGGAGAACATGCCACTAGGAAGCTGTGAAGGGCACCTGGATGAAGAGCTAAGTCTGTATAGAAGCTCAGAGCAGGGAACGAGCCGGGAAGCCCAGTGCGATGGGGTGAGCGAACCCGAGCAGAGGTGGGAGGGAGGCTGTTCTCTCTTCAGTGGGATGCCGTGTGGTCAGCTCTGCCCCACCGCAAGCCAGAGACCCTGGGGCCCTTCACACCCACTTCCAGCTAGAGGGTGCCCTTCTTCCAGTGTCTGTGCCAGATAGCAGGGTGGGCCTGTGAGCGAGTCCCAGAACTGTCTGCCAAGATGTCCCTTGAAGAGCAGAGTCCTGCTGTCCCTCCCCACCCTAGCCCAGAACCCAGGGAGAGGAGGACTACAGAAGGAAAAGGAGAGAATAAAGCAGGTCTGTCTCCACCCTCAGAGGACAATGGGTGGCCCTGAGCACCAGTCTAGTGAGTGGACAGGCTGAATAAGTCTCCATGGTCCCCCTCCCTCTCTAGCATCTTTCTCTCTGCATCCCTTGAAAGCCAGCAATCCTCAACACATGAATTCTGCCGGTCCTCTCCCTGGTGCGCTCACACTTTTGTTATCATTTATAGGCTGGTATCTCCCCAACTGGCATCGTCAACCAACTCAGAGCTGAGGGGTGGCGGGCGGGGGTGGGGAACTTGTAGCTTCTGGATGATTCACAATCTTGGAGAGGCATAGGTACCTCAGACGCTCCCAGCTTCCATCCCTTTCATACCTGGAACTCCCTTTCCTGCCCTTTCTCCACGTTGGACTCCTTCCATTCATTAAGCCCTTTGATACTTGAGGACGTGCCCCTGAAGCTTATCAGATTCAAGCAACTACCAGCACCCATCACCTCATACCACTGCCAGAAATGAAAGAACTTGCCCGTGATCCAGACACCCTGATCGGTGCAGCATTTAGGAGCCAGAAGAGAACTTTGCTATTGAAGACCTAATGCAGCCCCTCGCCTTGGTCCCCATGTGCCCCAGCCTGTGTGTTTCTTTTTCTGGCAGTGAATAGAGCCATCCATGGCGGTTGTGATGAGTTCTGTGCCCTCAGACAGAGCGGATGGCGCTCAAGGGCAGGGGCTGGTTGCCGTGCTTGTCTTCCTCCAAATGCGGTGTGCCACTGCCTAAACCCTGTGCCCAGCTGTGTGTGGTTAGTAGCCAGTTACACGACTGAATTGAACTCTCGATAGAAGGGATGAGAAGTGACCCTTTGCGTGCAGACCTGTCATTAAGGTTATCACTTAACGAAGAGTGGAGACAGTGTCCAGTGGAGCCCGGAGTGACTGGGTCAGAGGAGGGGACATCTGTAACGTCAAGGCAGCTTTTGGCCAAGAGCCTCTTTGTCTGGAGCATTAAAGTTTGGTGAATGGGAAACTGGTTAATGCAGGGTTGGTCAGGAGACCCGTGGGGGAAAGGAAGGACTGTAGCCCCACCCCCACCCCCTGTTGGGACATTAGGAAGCCAGAGCCTGGTGATAAGACAGACCTTGGCTTCTCTAAGGTCCCCATCTCTGGGACTCTGGGTTATCCAGAGAATTTTGGCCAGAAGTTGAGGGATTTGGGCCAGTTTTCTACCACTTGCCCTGGTTCAGTTCCACTGACGGTTTTCTCTTCTGTGCTCTTCTGTGGCTTCCCACAGTGGTCTTCTGCTGGCTTCCTTCTGCCTGTGCCATCTGTGGCTGTTGCTCTGGCCGTGACGCTGCGGGCGGCTCTGAGTGGCCAGTGTCAGTGCCCCAGGTTTGCTGTCACCGGCCTGGGGGCTTCCACGCAGCAGCCTGGGAACTGGGCGGAGTAGAGAGAACTAAGAGAGGTGGCAGAGCAGGACTGGGTAGAGACGCACAACCTGAGACATTTCACAGATCTGGATCCCCCCAGAGACGACATGGTCTTAGTATTAATAATTCAATAGCAAGTTATAGTCTCTTACTATTTAGGGAGTTTCCATAGTGCTAACTTCCTTGATCCACACGAGTACCCTATGCCTAGAGTATTTCATCATCCCCATTTTATAGATGAGGAAACTGAGGCTCAGAGAGATTTAAATGACTTGTCTAGCGTTTGAAACCAAATCTCTTGACTCTGAAACATCTCATCATTCCACTATAGGATTTGCCTCCTGCATCCTATAACCAGGTAGACCTGACCCACCAGTACCCTCTCTGTGTGAAAGGGCACAGACCTGGGGAGAGATTCAGCACCATCCCCGATCCCTGGAACTTCCTGTCTGCTCTCTCCTGTCATTGAGAACGCCAGCCTAAGGGTTCATTTTCTCTTTCCTTATTGTGTAAAGCACAAGGAATCCAACTCCTATTGTTGAAAGGGGTGAGACATTCAGAAGGAAAGTCTCGAATTCCATTGGGAACCATGTTGGAAGACGATGCTCTGTTTCGTTCTTTGGTACATTCATTTATTCATCCACCAGATGTGTGTAGAGTCTGCTACATGCCGGGCACTGTTCTAGATGCTGGAGTTACTGTGGTGAACAAGACAGGCTAAGTCCTGTCCTCTTGAAACTCGCGTCCTAATGCCGGGTGGTTATAAGCAAGTAAATGATGAACAAAATGTTTCAGGTGGTGCTAGGGGCTATCCAGAAAATGCAGAAGGGTGATGGGATAGAAAGTAACTGGCAGATGCAGGGAGTGAGATCTTCTTGGGTTGGTGCTCACAAGAGACTCTTGAGGAGGAAGCACGCACGCTAAGGTGTGGGTAACAGAAGGAGCCTGACATGAGAAAACCGGGGGCAGCAGCTTTCCAGGAAGAGGGACCAGGAAGGGCAAAGGTCTAAGTGGAAACTCAGAAGGAGATTTTAAGGAAATAATATTCATGATGACGTTTGATGATATGGACTGTCCTCACTGTGGTTAAGCAACACTGTGCCAGGTAGGAGGACTGATCCTGGGAACCTACACACGTGTCATGGGATTTCTGCGAGAAAACCAATTCCGAGTTCTAGGCAGTGGATTCACAGCTGAACTTGGAGTATCAGGAACTACTTCCATCACGGGCTTACTAAGAACTGACCATGGCATAGAATGAGGGCTTTGGAGTGAAGGACGGACAGGAAGAAAAAGCCTACATTTGCCCATTGCAGAAACTCTTGAGCCTTGTAACTCTCGTAATGGCAAAAGTCAGGAGGTTTTCTAAGATTCCATAGTCATGATTTTAAATAGTGCTGTTGGGATTTCTAGTCTGGGTTCTGCTATTGATTATCTGTGTTTCATTGTTTCTTGGAACAAGTCACCTACCCTCCCTAAACTTGGTACTATTGTATTACGTGAGCAGGTTAGAGCAAATGGATTCTAGGGAGCTTCTAATTCTTTTTCTGTTAGTGCCTTCAAATGCCTGCATTCGTCAACAGTGAGTTTTCTTTGTGTTGTAGCCTTTTCTGCGCCTCTGCTTTGGGTGAGGTTTGAGTGCTAAGTGAAAGTGAGTCATTTGGAATAGTAGCAGCTCCTTAACATGATAGGTGCTACTAAGAACCTCTCTTGGCGTAGACCAGTTGTTCCCTAAGTATAGTTTCCAGACCAGCACCAGCAGTAGCACTTGTTAGAAATTGTTAGAAATTCAAATTCTCAGCCTCTCCCCCAGAAACCTTGGGGATGTCACCAAAAAATCCATGTTTCAACAAGGCCTCCAGGTGACTTTGCACACCGAAGTTTGAGAACCACTGGTGCAGAGTATGTGCTTTAAGATTTGGGGACTACCAGTGATGGGTTCTTGTATTTCAGTTATTCTTGTGGTCACAAGAAATGGTTATATTTCTAAGATGCTTATCCGTCTTGGCTCAATGAGCCGTCTCGTGGCTGTAGAGCAGAAGGAGAGCTCCTGGCCCATGTTGGGATTGGGGCCCAACTCATCAAATCCCCGTCCACGACCCCAGGGGAGCAGCTTGGAGGACAGCATTAGCAAGGGGGCATGTTCATCCTAGAGGAAGCCTTGAGGGAGGGCACTCCTGGATGTGCTTCTGCGGAGGCTGGTTTGAGTAGAGCAGGGTGTTGATTATGGTTAATGTTCACATTTTTTTAAAAGTGTGGAACTGTTCTGACTTTATACATGTTTGGCAGATAGATCTGCTTGCATCTGTGTTGTGAAGATCAATGGTGTTGAAAGGTCTTGGGTCCCAGATAAAAAGTAATCTGGTGACCGTGCTGTACAGTGAATTTAGACTCCTGACCCAGTTTGGTCTCTTGCCTAAATGTCCACTTATAAATCTAGAATGAGGTGACCAGATGGTCCAAATCACCCAGGACTGTCCCGTGTTTCCCCTTCCTGTCCCTCTCAGTCTGGTGTCTCGGATTTGGCCCTGCGTTGCCCACTCCTGCTGGATCTTGTCCAGTCGAGGGACAAAAACGTCCTGGCACCTTCCTGAAGAATGGGAAAAAAGGAGATTCTGGAAGCACAGACTGAACCGCCGTGCCAGAGGCCGAGGAAGCGGATGCCTGAAGGGAGTGCTCCCACACCCACAGGAGCCCCGAGGACAGCTGGTGCTGGAGGCGTGCAGGCCCGAGAAGGGGAGAAGTAAGTCCATTTCTCTGGTAGGGCTTAGAGGAGGGTTAGTAGTGGTAGGGGTCGGGAGGTGGGGCTGGGATGGCCCCTCCTGGGCCAGAAGGCAAAGGCTGGGAGGCAGATGGGCCACGCAGGAGGTGACAAGGGCACGGCGAGGAACATGAGTGCTTCAGCCCAAGCTGGCCTGGCCTCTCTGCTCACGCCTTCTGCCCCCTTTCCGAATTCTTTCATCTCTGTGCATCCCGGCTCCTTCCTGTCATTCTCTCAGCCCCGCCTCCCTTGTTAACCCCTTAACCCCTGTGCTGCTTCTCCCTCCAAGCTCCTGCTGTGTCCCGCCCACTGTCCGCTCCCCACCGCTTGCCTCGTTTCTGTCCATTATTGACATGATGACGACCGGAGAATGATAGGGTCCAATTGTGATAAGTGCTCTCCCTGTTCACAGATGCCAGCAGTGACCTCGAGCCACCCACAGCTGTTCCCGAGCAGTCCGCCCAGGACCACCGAATGGAAGACACACAGCGGATCTCGCTCACTTGGCGACTGAAGAAGCTGGAACAAAGGCCACAGAGGCTGAAGAAGCAGCAGGGGTCCGGAAGCTTTCAGAATAACCCTGAGAAAATCGTCTACTGAATTACAACCAGTTTTGCTGACAAAAGTTGTGAGAAGAGGCCCCCACTGGCTCCCATCGTACTTGGATGCCATTCCTCATGGACTTTGAAGAGCTCACCTCTGCCTTCCCAAGCAGGTTGCTCCCATTTCGGCTCTGGGAGCTCTGGTTAACCTTCTTGATGAGAAAATGTTAACTTTTTTTCTGAGTCCTGGATTAAACGGTCCTACCTGAGACTGGGTCATTTGAGGCTAGAAGCACCTCGAAACATTGCTGTTTCTCAGAAGTTGCCAAGTTCATGGCACCCTTGTTTCCTATGTGACCAGGGGTCCACTTCTGACAGATGCTACCTGGCCTCGTCAGTATGTCTCCTGGTAGGCTCCTTGGTGCTTTTCTTCCCCTCCCCGCCCCCAATGCCCTGCCCCAGGTGAGACTCACAGAGTGGGGGACCCTGCCTCTCCTGGTGAGGCCCATGTCTGTGGTGGCAATGCTGTGGCGGCAATGCTGTGGCTGGATGTGTGAGAGAAAGTCTGGTCTGGTGGAACCAAAGGTTTTGTAAGTTCGAGGGTCATAGGAACATGGCTCCATCCCTGGTAGCTTTCGAGGAGGCCCGCCCGCCCCTCAGCCATTCCCCTGGCTCCACCCTAACCCTTCCTCTCACCTATTCCAGGATAGTGTTCTTTTCTCGATTCAGTTAAAAGTAACGTGGGTTGTTTCTTTCATTATTAAAGCAGCACATCCTTATTATAAATACATCAGACATAGAGATAAAAAAAAAAGAAAAAAAAACCCAGCCCCAAATCCTACTTACCCCAAAGACAACCATTGAGATTCTGTGGAAGAGCCTTTCATATATCGGATGCTATACATACCCACCTGCACGCACATATATAAATATACATACACACATATGTATAATTATATATATGAATGTAACTGCACTGTCACAATGCCATATATATTCTTTGATAACACACATTGTCATTTAATGCCTTATCATGAGCATTAGCTTTCTATATCAACAAGCTTTTTTTTTAAATGATTAAGTAATGCCTTTAATTACAGAAGAGACAACCGAGACCAGAAATATAAAACGATTTTCAAAAAATGAGGGTGCTAAGTCATTTAGTATAAGGGAACAAAGCCAAGTGGATACAACTCAAAGAATATACATCCCCATTTTTTTTTTTTTTTTTTTTTTGCCATGAGTTGCTTGAGTCTATAGCAATTGTAATGTAAGAGTACTCAATTATGGAGATAGACCATCATTTATTTACCTAATGTCGTGTGGCTTGATGTTTAGGTTGTTTCCAATTTTTCTCTGTTTTAGGTAGCATTAATAATAATGAACATGGTTCTAGTTAATCTTCATACAATTATTTCCTTAAGTAAATCCCCAGAAGGAGATCAAAGGACAATTAGTGAAGGTTGCAAAGACCTTGAAGTTTGGCGCCTGCATTAATTGCTTGGCACCCAAGTGCATTAGAGCCTGGGCCATTGGGAAGGCTGCATGTGCCCTTTCTTTGATGACTTTATATATCCACACTTGGGTAGCTCTGGCCTCCTTTCCCCTGCCCAGAACAGAGCATACCCATGAATGACAGCTGAGTTAAGCAGATGGCGAATGAGGGAGTGGTGTCTCTCTGGGTTTGGTATTGGGGTATATCTCATGGTTCCTTACTGGATGCTGCGAAATAGTCATTCATTCATGACCCATTTATGGAGCAGTTACTGTTGCAAGGTGCCACGCTGGAGGCTGAGAAGGCAAGGGTGAATTAAACAGGGGCTCCATCCTCGGGAAGATCCACAGGCTAGAGAAGGCCAATGACTAATAACACACACTTACGCTATAGCATAGCAAGAGGAAAGATGTAAGTTTGCTTGTACACCTCAGGGCAGAAAATTTGGAACGATCCAAAAGTCTCAAAGGAAAAACAGGAAACCACACGTAATCCACTGGCCCATTCATGACAGTTGTCATTTTTGAGTGTGTCCTTTAGGCAGTGAATCGTGCCTGTGGTCATCCTCACTGGATAGCACCTCCTCGAAGGCATTGTCTGTGTGCTTCCAGCGACCCTGGCACCAGCTTATCCAATGTATTCTGAAATCTGTTAAGTCTGAAATCCAAATGGGAAGAAACAAAATTAAAGGTAAAGGGATTCATGACTTAAAGTCTCAATGTTTTATGTATGTAGGGAAACTTGCATTAATTCATGTCCTTCTGCTTGATGAAAACGTTTTCAAATATTTCATTATGAAAATAACGATCTCATTTAAGAAAATATGGAAACTAGAGAAAAGGAGAACTGTGCTCCTATTTTAGCATCCTGCCCCAAGGCTGGTAGCATTTCAGACTTTTACCCAGAAAAATTTGTATTAAGATGGTGTTGAGGACAAGAGCAGAGGCATATGGGAGTTTTGTGAGTTTTTTCCCAATTTTTATTTTTAATTAAACATGTTTAATGGTTGATTATATTCACTTTGTTCAAAATTTAAATAGTACAAAAGCATAGAGACTGAAAGTCTTTATGGCTCAGCCATCTAGTTCCCTGGAGATACACAGTGGCATCAGTTTCTTGTGAATCCTTCTAGAGTTTTTCATGCATATAAAACAAGGTATGTACATAAAATATGAGTTTTTAATGGAGGGCTTGGCAATATTATTACTGAATGTTCTAGGTTTAGCCTAAACTATCCTTGATGTTAGTGGCAGGCCTGGGGTACAGGTGGAAAAGAAGAGAGAAAAGGGCAAAAGGGGGTGTGTGTTTGCGTGCACATGTGTGAAGGGGAGTAGGTGGTTGTTGCTAAAGGAGATATAGTGCAGGGGGAGGATGAGAAACAAAGGGTAAGAACAACCATCCATTCATTCATTTATCCAACCAGTGTTTATTGAGCAGCTATTATGTGCCAGGATACTATTCTAGACCCTGGAGAATCAGGAATGAACCAAGTAAAAATTCCTTGTCCTCATGGATATTGTTTGAAAATGGAAGGTAGTAGACCATAAACATAATAACTAAGAAAATTATTGTCTGTTAGAATGTGGTAAGTACTATGGTAAAAAATAAGTAGGATGTAGGAGATAGGGAGTTTCAGGAAATAATTTTAAGATGAGTGGTCAGGGTAGGCTTCATTGAGAAGGGGACATATGAGTGAAGACTTGAAGGAGGTAGGAGAGTGAACCCTGTGGATATTTGGGGAAGGAGCATCCACAGAGGGCGAGAAGGCAGTGCAAAGGCCCTGTGGTAGAAGTGTGAGGCCTGGAGGCTGTCAGCAGCCACCCCTCTGCCCCCACCCCTGCCGAGTCTGTTCTTGGTGACGTCTTCACTAAGGCTGGCTTTCCTCAGGTCCTGAAGAAGCCAGGGTCAGGTTGGTGTGTTCTTTCTAAACAGCTGAGATATTCTACACTAACGTTAGTTTTTCCTTTCTCTGAATTTTGATTTGAATGTTTTATTTTATTCCTTCCAAGGATAATTCTGTGGTTTGGATGTTAATTTAGTCCAACTAAGGAAAAGTTGGGGGTGGGGAGAAGTAGTATTGTTGTAATAGAAACAGCAAGATTGAGGCACTCAGGGGTCCTCAACCTGAAACCAATCCTGCCCCTTATTTTCCAGCCTTTTGTACTGGGCACATTATTCATCTTTGCTGGTCCTCGGTTTCCTCATGTAGAAGTTGAAGGAGGTGTACTTAGACGCCTTAGGGCTGCGCTCGGACTGTGTCAGCGGCTAAGATAAGAAGTGGTGTCGGGTGATGTGTAGTAATACTGTGAGGGAGGCAGGGGAGATTCGGCCCGCAGACGACTCCGTGCACATGCTAATACGTGCTGCCACCCGGTTTTCCCTCTTGGACCAGCCGAGCTCAGCTTCGCCCTTGCAATAGAATATTCCATCTGAGGAAGTCCCCAATCCCTGATGATAACAGAGGAGACATGGCCATACTGCTAGTTGCACTCCTTTCCCTGTCTCCTTTAAGCCCTGGAGGGGTTGGTTTCCCCCATGCCCCAGAGCCACCCTGACTCTCAGCCTGTGTGGATAGGGCCGTGGTGGGATCTGGGGCTCCTTCTTTTGTTCTCTTTTGGCTTCGGAGCTTCCCTCCCCTCTTTGCTATCATGAGTGTGTGCCTGGAGTCTTTCATCTGCCCTGGTAAGTTAGGCAGTGGGGAGGAGAGGGAGTGTTGCTCCATGCGGAGCAAAATCATTATGAATTTAAAAATTCGGAGTGCGCGTAAGAGGCTGTGGGGGCAGAGCTGGAGCCTTTAGTGAGTTCATGTAGGAGGAAAATGCTAAACATGATAAAAGGCTTTTCTCTTTCACTCTTAAAGTGTGAGTCACCTTGGTTGTAGCTACTTGCTTGCCCATTTCTCTGTTTCCCCCGGTTTTCCTTCAACTGCCCGTCTTCTGCGTCCTTAGCTGCTGTTCAGCGGCGTGGGGGGAGACTGAAGAGTGGCTTCTTCCCTTACTGGAGTTCTGTTGCTTTGTTTTTCTGATGGGGGCATTGTGTGCCCTCAGCACGGCGGGAAAAATATCCATACTCGTGCACCTGCAGCTGAAAATGGATTCTGAGAGGCTTAATTTGCTGAAATCAACTTCTGGGTTACGTGATTTTCCCGATCCCTTTTTAAATACATAATGTATACAAAAATCCCTCTATTACTTTTTACATTTCATGTGATGCCCTTTGTCTCCATCAACTGTTGTGGAGCGAAATTTTATTTGGAATATTCATAACAAGTCTATCGCTAATTATCACTTTAACAATGTGTTATGGAGTGTATCCATGCAGTCATCTGGAAAGGCACATATGCCACGAAATTTGGGATTTGCTGTGTACTGTGTGTGCCCACTCTTAGTGTTTCATCAGATCTTTGCTCTGGGAGGAGGTAGAGGTGCTTTGTAAGGGAGGATGGAGGACTGGCCTTGTAGCTGAACGCATGCATCCTTCAGTGCTGTCCTCCTAGCAACAATTTCCAGGCTCATCCGCTTTGGAGTGTAAGAAAACCCTTCATGTGAAACAAAACCGGTCCGCACAGTGAAGCCCCGTTCTGGAAAGCTACAGAGATGGGATCTGAGCTCACCCCCGGCCTGCGCCAGGTGGACAGATTCCAGACGGAGATCTAATCACAGGCAAAGAAGAGGCCGCTGGCCTTAGTGCCTTCCTGATGCTGGCAAGCGGAGTGGGGCTCAAGTTGCCATGGGCTTGGCAGACCTGAGAAGCAAATGTAAAGGATCTTCAGCATCTCCGGAGGGGACAAGAAAGAATGCCTGGCCCATTTCTTTCTTCCTGCTCTCTTTTCTCCTGGGAAGGAGAATGAACTCGTGCTGAGTTCCCTCTTCAGGATGCTCAGTGGGTCTGAGCCTGGGGAGTGTGGGATGACATCATCATGGGGACACAGGGACCTCTTCCGCGGGGGGGGGGGGGGGGGGGGGGGGGGGGGGGGTGGGGGGGGGGGGGGGGGGGGGGGGTGGGGGGGGGAATGGAGTAGAGTAATAAATCACTTGGCCTGTAGGAGGGGCTAGCAATGACTCAGCAGGGAAGGACCTGCCAACCCTGGCTCCACGTGACTTTGTGCATCTCTGTGGGTCCTGCTTTTAACATTGGTGGGGGATTTGGGCTCAGTCTTTTCTGGGAATCCTTGGAGTGTTCTGAGGGAGGTACTTCGGGCGGCTGCAGAGTTAGGACTGTTTATAATGAGTTTTTTATAAAGAGTTTTTATTGCATCTGGAGCCTGGTTTGCTAGATGTCCCTCTAGAAATGATAACAGTATTATTATTTATTGAGTA